ACTCAATCTTTCAATTGTTTTCATTTATTTAATTTGTTTTTTCTTGAGGTTAGTGTGGTCTAGTTGTAACCCCCATGAAAATCCTTAATTATATATATTATGAAATGAAAGTTTGGAAAATTACACCATGAGAAATTAATGTGTGAAATGTATGATTTTTGTGAAATTAAAGCAATTTTACTTGAGATTGATGGTTTAATTATTAGAGGAATCCGAGTATGCAAAATCGGTGTTTTTGATAATTAGATTCTGTCTAAATTTTGTGTGGCTTATTAATGGACTTTAGAGTGATTTATGGGTGAACCTTAAAGAATAAAAGTTGTTTATATATGTCTTAAATATACTCTATAAAATATTTTGATTATTAGGTTTATATATAAAAAGTTATGCCTATTTTAGTGCATATTGTTCTAGACGTAATACTTGTTGGACTGATTGATCCTTAAACTTTAAAATTTAGTTGTGAATTGTGTGTTAGGTATTTTAACCTAATTCTTGGATATTTTGTACCTTAATATGTCTAGTTTCTCATATAAAAATCATAGGATTTTATGGTGTCTAGAAGGGGGACGTTGCTCTTTGATAAGAGGCTACCCTATCATGTATGTGGTACAACCGGATTTAATGTGTAAGTTTGTTACTTGAACTAAACTACCTTAAGGGAATTTTTCAATAAAACTAAAATAGTTTAAGGGTATTATTTAGGTTAATTATCTAGTTCATACCTAGTTAGGACACCTAAGCGCCCTAATTAATGAGTTAAAAGCCAGCACACACCTTGACTAGCCAAACCCGCCACTTGCTTCCTTTTTGTCATCCCTCACTTTACACTTTGCCATATTATTTTGGGACGCTTGTATACCTATTAACTACAAGGAAATTAAGTGTATATATATATATATAGAAGTGGAGTATATGGTCGTTATTTTTTAGTCCAAATCGTAGCTTACAAAACAAGAGAGAAAATCAAAGTGAGAAAGAATGAACAACTGCAAAAGAGGAAAGGAAAAGAAAAGGAAAGAAGAAAGAAAAGAAAAAGGGGAAAGATTAATCAATCTTTAGGAAGTTAAAGCAAAGTAAGTAGGTTCCATTTTTAGTTTATTTTCAGTTTTAAGTAATCTTTCTAAGTGTTTATCTTATGGGTTTGTAATAATTTTTACAATGGGTTGCTATGGTTGTTTGTGTTGGTATCGGGGTTTGGTAAATTGTAATGGATCTATGTGTTTGTGTTGTGATACAAAGTTTTTTTGATGTGTTTAAATGTGTGGATGGTTTGGAAAGAAAAAAAAAGGGTATGGATCGAATTGGTTAAAGCTAAACTAGATTTGGTGAGCATGACTTGGAAAGGAAAGAAATACACTTCTAGCGTTTCCCTAAGCTAAAACCATTCGGCCAATGGGGAAAATTAGAAAAGAATGGATCTTTTTGGATAAATTAAGGGTCTAGAATATCATGGTAATCCAATTAGGAATGGGTTAATAGTTTAGGGTGAAAATAAATTTATTAGACATGAAAGGTAATCCTTGGCCACCTTAAAACCCAATCGGGCCAACTAAAAGAAAAATAGAGTTTTGGACTCATTAGGTAAATTGGATACTTGATGGCTAAATTTGGTTTCCTTTGTGGACCTTAAGGTTTAAATCTCCTTGGTAACCTTTCTAAGTATAGTTTGGTAAGTTAGTATAAAAGGAATTGACCTAGAAATGAAAAAACAATTTCTTGCTCATTTTGGACCAATCGGCCTAGGAGAGAAAATGATTAACATTGAATCATTTTGTGTAATTAAAGATCAAGAATTAAATGTGAACTCAAGTAGAAACCAATTAGTAAGTTAGATTAGATGGGGGAAACATTTAACCACTTAAGGACACATAAGACCTGGACCTATTATGAGTCAACTTCGACTACTAAGATTAAAGGTTTAGATTAAATAAGAGTTTAACTTAAGTATATCACACGTAAATCCTTAGGATTAACCGATCTTGTAAACTAAGTAATATACTGAAAATTCGAGCCTAGACTTGCTAGGTACACGAGAAGGAAAATTCGTAAGTACGAAGTAGATTTATGCAATGAATGATACCAATGAATGGAATTTGTATCCTTATTTTGAATACTTTGAATGGTACATGAAACACCCGTGAAGTCCCGAATGTGCGTTAGGACATGAAAATAGTCCGAGAAGAAAATGTTGATAATGTAACTAGTTGAATGTGTTAAACATAATACTATGTGCATCACGTGTATTCGGAGGTGGTATGAAATCGAGAAAAATCATTGAGTCGTGAGATAATATGGTTTGGTAACCGAATTGAATGGAATGGGTAACAACATGAAATTATGTATGTGCGCTATTACTAACTTCGTTAAGCGAGGGATAATTCTGCTAATCATGTACTACAACGAAGGATAATTTCGTTATAAACGAGTAGGTGATAATTGGATCACCGAGAGAGAGTAATAGAGCAATAGGTGATAACATGATCATTGAGAGATAGAACACATGGTCTTGCTAATACCTAGGGTACCGGATTAAAGTAGATGGGTATAATGGGAAACGGAATTTCATTGCATATCACGTGCATCACCCTACTTACCGAGCTTCGGCTCACCCGAGTTGTTGTTTTCATGTTATGACAGGAAAGAGTCAAAGTAGTAAGGATGCTACTCGGGTCCTCCAAAAGGCTCATGTGTGATACAAGTGGATTGAAATTTCTTTTGATTGTAATTTTTAGGGTTGGGGTATCGATAAACATTTTGATGGTATTATAAATAAATTTTGTAATTTCTTCTGCTGCATTTGTTAATATTATCTAAATTGTCTTGTACGCGTTTCATTGTATGATAAGTCCTTAATGTATGAGTACATATGTGTTTAGGGTTAATTCGGAAATTGATCATGTTAGCGTGACGCGCTCCTCATCTAGCCACTCATTTTGAGTAATTAGCAAGTGGGCCGAGGAGGGGGAGCCATACCGATGCTTCAATTGTTTTCATTTATTTAAATTTATCCATGGTTTCATTTTAGATATGATTTTCAAAATGTGGATGCAAAGGAAGATCGATGAGTTTCTCTCATTTGAGAAGGGCTTCATACATAGGGATGTGGTTTGTTCCGTGACCAATCCATCCGGACGGATAGACGAGTTGTAAATGTTAACATGCTAGTCAACTTGGAAAATAGTCATGGAAAAATCACAAAAGAAGTTGATTCAAAGAAGCTTTTGAAGATCCGATCCATTTCATTAGGAGATTATGTGGTTCATGGGCCATGGATAGGAAGAGTCGATAAAGTTATTGACATTGTTATCGTAGTATTTGATGACGATACATCTTGTGAGGTTACTGCAGTGGATCAAGAAACTCTCTTGCCTATATCTCCCAACGCGTTTAAAGATTCAACGTATCCATATTATCTAGGATAGAAAGTGCGGATTAGGCTCTCGGTAGTGTCTAAATCGAGCTGGATGGTTATGTGGAGCTTGGAAGGAAAATCGGGATGTAGGGATCTGTTTCGCTGTAAAATCAAGTTTAGTGTATGTCGATTGGCTTGCTTGTGCTCTTGTTGGTAAGGATTTGAGTTTGCCTTCTCCTCGACATTTGCAGGATGAAAAAAACCGACTTTGTTGTCATGCTTTTTGCATGAAAATTGATAACTTTGTGATCGGTGTGTGCTTCCTTTGGAAGATTATAAGGGTGTGAAAGATTATGAATCCGATATGGTCCCCAGCTTTGTTATATGGATGTATATAAATTTGTGAGAAAGGGCCAATTATCAACAACAAATGTGTCATGTTTCTTTCCGAGTGCTCCCAACAATTGTATGTATTTTCTATTTGTATATACTTTAGATTGTGTACAAAGGAATGATATAAAAGAGGGTTTTTTTTCCAAATTTTGTTCGACGTAATTTTAGGGTTGAAGGAAAACATAATAGATTCGTAGTTTCTTAATTGTTTTGAGTTTCATTTTCAAGGACATTCTATTTTTTTGGTTGTAAAATTGATACTCCTATATTGTTGGCACCAAAAGTTTAAATGAATATATATTACTGCAGTCATATACTACTACTTATGCAACCTTCAATCCATGATTTATAAAATGAAGATATATAATTAACAATTTCATAATAAATAATAATAGGATGTCCTCTCTAACATACAAAAAAGGTTTCAATGTGCCATAAACAAGGCTAAATAAGCAACGAAAATGGTGACCCCGAATGTCTCTTTCATTCATCACCACAAAAGTGTCTCAATTTACAATGAACTACTTATACCACTTTCTTCAAATCAATCATCCACATTTGGAGTTGTATTTATAAGTTGATTATTTAAAGATAAACCTTGCAAACAAATATATACTTTCATGCATTGTTGAACTTAGAAAAAAAATTATTATTAAAACACAACTATAATAACTTATTTGACTCAAATGCACTATAGGTTCAACACCTTGTAACATTTTAGTAAATGACATGTTTGAACCTCCCATATTCCAATACTAATAAAAATAATGGTTTTAATTAGCCTAAAAATAAAATGAAAAATGAATACGAGTATAATTAAAATTTGAAGATTGTGTATACCGGAAGGGGGCACCAACTTGACTTAACATATGCATATATGGTGGTACTTGGTGGTATGGAATTTACATCGAACTTGCAAGATTATATTGAAAATTATGAATGATATGTGTGTTTATACTTGAAGAGGATCCCGACTAGATAAAAATATATAATAAATTATAAATATCATAAAACTTCATGTAAGAAATATGGTAATAGATTAAAAGAGTATCTCATCTTGATCATTTGTTTTTTTGCCTTGTAGGAACTTTGCATTGAGAATTTTTTCCTCTCCTTTTCTCCATAATTGAAAAGGATAATAATCTAGATATATTATTATTTACATCTATAATGAAAATGAAACTATAAGTTAGAAGGTATTCATCGTTGCTTTTGCTTTTGTCTTTGCCTTTTTCTTGGATTTTTCTAAGTATCATTTGAATCTTGCATTGGAAACACCTTTGGTCTTTGTACGATGGCGGTTCAAGATAGGATTAACATCAAGTGTCTCTTCTACATCTTGCCCATCATCCACTTCATTTTCCATTTCTTGACCATCTAAAGAAATGCTTAATTTGGCCAATTCATTCTCGATATCTTTATCAATCTTCTTTAGTCCATCTTGAACAATCTCTCTTGCTTTTACGTTTCCTTGACTCTTCAAGATGATATTGTAAGCATTTCACACATGTTATTTCAGTAAACCATCTTATAATCATCATTCTTACCATCCACACTAGCATTATGTATCCCCTCTTCCAACCATCTATTTCTTGTATTTTTACACCATCTACTTAACACATATTTATTTGGAATTTCATCAAAGTTTTTAATGATCAAGATCTTCAATGCATGGCAACATAGTAAGCCCATAGACTTAAATTTTTTATAAGAACAACTTATCTCCATAGTAGACATATCTAACTTTACACGACGGATCTTTGAGCCCTCAATTCCTCCAACCTCAAATTCATAAACACCACCATCGGAAGATAGTTCAAACCAAAATTTTCCTATGGCATTCTTGAACTCATCAAATAATTTAAAAAGTTTGTGAGTATAAACATTTGCTGCATGGTTTAAAATCCCACTATCTCTAATTGCTAGAGGAGGCCTACTTTGCTTACAACAAAAATCCTCTTCATCCTTAAAAGAACGCCATCCTTTAATAATTTCCTTAAATGATTTAACAAATTCCCCGAGTGAAGTATTTTTGTTTGCCACATCTCCCAAAACATTGTTAGTGCTTTCACTCCGTTGCGATGATAGAAATCCAGTCGAAAAGAAATCATCGGACAAAGCGAGTGCTCCGGTTCTGCGTTTCTCATATAATTGCTTCAACTACTTATGTTCTCTAAGATCAAAGGCATCTAACATTTTCTCCTAAGTTTTTTTGAACTCAATTTCATATTCACAACTTTTGGAAATCAAGATTTGAATTCGGACCCCCAAGATGACTTGGAGCATTCTTAGTCATAGTCACAATGTGCCACAAATAAAGCCGATGACAAGTGCTAGGAAAAACAGTTTTAATCGCATTAGCCATTGCTTGGTCTTGATCAATAAAAATTATGGCTGGTGTTTTCCCTCCCATAGAATCCAAGAATGACGTGAATAACCAAGTAAAAGAAGATTCGATTTTATCAAATAAAAATGCACATCCAAACATCATATTCCGTCAATGATGATTAACACCAATAAATGGAGCACACACCAAGTCATATTTGTCTATGCGATATGTTGTGTCAAAAACAACAACATCATAAAAAAAATCATAATCAATGAATGACTTCCTATCCCTCCAAAAGAAATTTTTCATTCTATTTTCTTGATCCACTTGCATATCATAAGAAAACATCGAGTCCTCACTTTGCTTCTTCTTAAAATGATTAATTAACCTTTTTACATCACCAGGCTCAATCAACCTTATTTTTTCTTTACCAACAAAGTTATAACAATCTCTCTTAGTAAACCCAAGGTACTCACTACCCCCAACTTGTCTCATCATATAAGCAAAAACATCCCTCGTTCTTATGTCGGCATTAACCATTGTGCTAATAACATTAGCCTTTAGAGTTGTTAATGCTTTATTTGATCTCAATAGGTGAGCTTCGAAGGTGAAGCTAGTTCATGATTATGTATTGAGACAAAGTATGTGACAACCCATAAACCATCTTTAATTATTAATTTGATCATTGTACCACAATCACTTTTTATTTCAAATCCATTAGCCGATTTATTAAGAGGGGATCCATTTCAACTTTCCTAGCTTTGGAACATCAAAACTCCCTTTGGCCAATTGTATGAGACTTTCCACTCGCTATATCTCGACTTAGAATGTCTAACATTGAAACCAGTTCTAATAACATACTCATTATAAAAATTATACGCTTCTTTCTCGTTGTTGAATACTTTTTCCATCAAATTATCTCACTCATTGTGACTTCTATTGACATAAAGAACATTCTCCTCTATGATCACATCATCAACATTAACTTCGAGCATATGCCTATATAAGAAAAACAAACAAGAAAGAAAACAAATATCTAAATTAAATAATTCCAAACTTAACTAGTTAAAAATATATTTGTGAACTCTATCTTGAGTTTCATTGTAAGAATCTTTCATTTTCAATTTACAACCCTTTTTCTTGTCTCCTATCGCTATCGATGCTCACGAGAGAATAAGAAAATTCAAGGCAATCACTAGATTTTTTTTTATTTTAAAACCGGACTTTTAATTTTTTGTCTCTACTCGTCAATGAAAGTATAAGAATATGATGAGTACCATATTTAGATTTCTCATTATGCTTGCATAAAGAAATAAGGTAATTAAAAAGTAAACAAAAAATCCATTGTAAATCAATGGCGAGTGTGACCCCCGACCTCGATCCGCTATCTATTATCCAAATAGAAGTGACTAGGCAAGGCGCGTCACGGCGACACTACTTAAACCCTAATCATGTCTCGTACGGTGTACTTAAGAAATTAACGACACCTTACATAACAAAACCGCATGTAGAAAATTTTACATGACATAACTAATTACGGTAAAAAAATTTTATAATTAGCGAGTTGATTTCGTGCGAATTTTATACCCCTAAATTATCGAAAAAACTTCTTTCAGCTTCCTTGTTACACATGAGCCTCATAGGAGGAGTCGATCGCATCCTTACTATTTTGTTCTTTTCCTCTCACATCATAAAAAAATAATGACGAGGTGAGCCGAAGCTCGGTAAGTGGGGTGATGCACGTGATATGCAATACTTTTCTAACTTCTCATGATACTTATCAATTTTAATTCGGGTATCCTGTGTATTAGCTAGTCTACTCTATTTTTTAATCCAGGTGATTATCAAATCACTTTCCGTTATAATGGAATTTATCCCTCGTTGTAGCCACTCGTTAGCGGGAATACATCGCTTAATAATGCGGACACACGGTGTAGAGTACACACACGATTGGATTGCTAATAACCATTTTTCTTGTTAGGTTACCAAGCCTAATCATGTAAACTAATTCTCATTCAATTGAATTTTCTCCATTTCTCCACAATGCACATGATGCACGTGATGTTATGTGTACCATATTAAACATATCTAACCCATACGAGAATCGGGCATACTCATATCCCTTATCATCATGTTCTTCTCATTAAAACGAAATACCAACATATGGTATTGGTTAAGTGATGGGTCTAATTACGTTTAAATACTTCACTTTTCTTTCCTTTAATAATTTTAGTTGTTAAATCGTTGTACACTTGAATTGCATAATTCTTAGTATTTACATCAAATTTCAATTATATTAAGGTATATTTTTCTACCTTCATTTTCTATCTCGTTTGAACCTAATTAATCATTTATTACGTTATCTTAGTGAAAGGAATGGAAACCGAACAAGTATGGAACAAAAAGGTTACTTTTAAGTGACCGGTGACTTACACGAGCGAGGACACACCCGTGTGAGAGGTCGTGTAACTCTTTGACTTGAAGAAAACATATTTCTTCATTATACGAGAAAGGACACGTCCGTATGTAAGGTCGTGTAACTCTCCGTATTGAAGAAAAACACATTTCTTTATTACACGGGTAAGGACACATCCGTGTGGGAGGTCGTGTAACTCTCTTACCTTAAGAAAAACACCTTTCTTCATTACACAGGAAAAGACATGTTCGTGTGGGAGGTCGTGTCATTTCTTAATTACATGAGAAAAGACAAGCTCGTGTGGGAGGCCGTGTAACTCTCCGATTTCACGTTTGCTCAAGAAAACCCTAAAATTTCATTTTTCTTTCCTTCTTACTCCATTTTATTCATGCCTAGATAAGTTCCAAGTTCGCCCATCATGTTTTAATCAACCAAACAACCTAACCAACACAACTAAGCCAACAAACACCTCATAACCTATACACAAGCTTAATCAATTACAATCACATCAATTGAATGACATGAAGCATCAAAGAAACTTACTTACATAGATATTCCACAATAACAAACAATCCTATATCAACTAAGCATAACAAGGCCAATACATCAATACAACATAATATAATTGGAAGCTTAAGCAAATACATCAATTTTCATGGAAGGATCAAATAAATGATATAAACAAAAATCCACTTACCTAGTTTGGATGAGGTTAGGTTCCTTTAGCTTTTCTTCCCTTTTTCCTTTCTTTTCCTTTCTCTCTTTCCTTCCTCTCTTTTCTCTCTTTCTTTTCCATTTTTCTCTTCCTCACACTTGGTTTTTCTCTATTTTCTTTCTTTCCTTTGAGTGAGCTATGATTTGGCTAAAGAAAATGATCGGATTTCATCCTTTCCATATATATACATATTTTTTTTCCTTGCATTCAATAGCTACACATGTGGCTTAAATTAATTAGGAAAAGTGTAAAGTAATTTGGTGAGTCATGGTAAAGGTGGCGGGTTTGTGTGCAAGTGGGGTGAGTTGGCTCTCTTGCATTTAATGAAATAGCTTAGGTGTCCTAACTAAGGAATTTGACTAATTAAATACCCTAATTAACTTAGCTTCAAGTAATTAACATATTTCCTTCATAGATTTTCATAAATTCCTCCTCTTAACTCGGAATTTCCCTTCCCTTCCATTTTGATATTTTTAAGAAAAATATTCCTACATTTCCAAAATGTTATACACACCCCTATTTCCCTTGTATAATATGTCCCAAGTACTTAATATATAATGAGTGATAATTAATTAATTTGTTTGAAACTTCATCCCAAAATTCTCACATAAGTGCCTCAAAATTTCCACATGAGTACTAATTAACCATCATCACCAAATAATTAAAATGAAACCTACAATTGCACTCGTATTTAATGCATATTTACGTGACTATTTCAGCATATATATATATGTCTCATTAAAGATTTTCACGGAGGTTACAAGCAATACCTAATTCGGACTTTGAAATTAAAGCAAAGCAAACGAGTACGAGTTTTCAATATTTATTCATGAGGGATGGGAACCAAACAATCATGAATTTCTTCTTGATAGGAACATGGGATAGAGCTAATGAGAGAGGGGAAGGAAAACGCAAAAGAAAAACTCATGCGACATAAGTTAGATTCATTTTCAAAATTATTCACACAATTTTGGGATGGTAACCCGTCTCCCTCTCTCTCTCTCCTTTGTTAAATAGACTTGGGATTGTATTTTCATGAAGCGGACAATTCCCTAGTATGTCCCTCGTCACCATGAATAGATAACCATAGCTTTGCATATGCATTCCCTAGTGTTTCTTGATAGGAACAAGGGATGGAGCTAATGAGAGAAGGGAGGGAAAACACGAAGAAAAAGCTCATACGACACAAGTCGGATTCGTTTTCAAAATTATTCACACAATTTTTGGATGGTAACCCGTCTCCCTTTCTCTCTCTTTTATAAGAAAATTACATGGAGTGACCCTTCCATTTGAATCTCTAGTAGTAGCGAGTAACAAGGTTATGCCTTATCTCGGCTTCCATTGCTTACTGGAGAGTTTGATGATCTTCGAGGACATGACGGATAATAATAGTAGTATTATTATCAAATCCGGAAAAGAGGCTACTTGTTGGCAAGGAAGGAAGGAGAGAGAGACTATGGAGGAAGATGAAAGTCTTTCCTAGCACCTACGAGAGAGAGAGAGAGAGACAACGGAGGAAGGAGAGAAGATGAAGAGTTAATTTGTTTTATTTAATAGAAGAGTTTGTTTTATCCTAAATATAAAAAATTGTACATATGACATATAATAAATGGAAAAGGTCCTTATTTGATGTGGAATTTTAGGATCCTTAAATAATTTTTTGGGATAAAGAAAGCAGGTGCGTTCTTCTTCAATATTATATTATAGTAAACTCAATTCGAATCATGTCAAAATTTTCAACGAAATAGAAAAACTATCAGATTGCATGATATTAGCTTTATCGTATGATTTTTAGGGAGAAGTAACTGTTATTAAACTTTCATTGAAGCTCCAAGCAATGCTCTAGAATTTAACTTGGTATTTTCCCTTAAAAATGTGAGGCTTACCGTTTTGGGGTGATGATTGAGGTTAAGTGGCAATATAACGGGGGTGGTGACAGAAATTTGTTTTTGGGGTTTATTTATAAATAGCTGTTGAAAAATTGAGGTTCTCGTTAGTAAACCCTAAGGAAACGGTGTCGAATGATAAACCCAGATGAGGCCTACATTTTCCACATGGAAGAAATTTTTTGAAAAAAACCAACACAGCTGCGTTACTTGACGAAAATGTCCCTGCAGTTGCGTCTCCCAATAAAACGCTTTCGAGAAGAAGTCACTGCAGAGCAGGAGAAGAAAGAGCGGGAGGGTTTAGTTTCTCTTTCCAGCATTTGTTTCAAGGAAACGCCCCGTTTTTTCTTCCTTCTCCTCCATGGATGGTGAAGGGGGTGCTCCTGTTCCCACCATGGAATCTCCGCCTGATTTAACTCCCGTTGGATCTCCTGAGGATGGTGTGCACGCTCTACCGTCTGATGAATATCACGAGCACGATGACGATCTCGATCCCGATCACGATCACGAACACGAGCAGTCATCTGGTCCCACCGTTCAAACTGAGGATCTCAAGCATAAAATCATTAAACAAGCAAGCACCTTCTCTATTTTTTTTCCTGCTTATACTTGTTTACTGGTTATTAATAATTTAATCTTATTTAATATTTTTTTTTCCTTTTTCTCTTTGCATTTCTTTCAAGCACAATTCCGGTTAAAAAGTCTTAATTATTGCATAACAATTGACTGAACTGGAATTGAATTAATACATTGTGAATCTCAACTCCTAAAACATGATTTTGTAAGTTTTTTATTTTCCATGTTCGAAATTGAAGTTCTCTCTCTAACGTTTTTGCAGGTGGAATATTATTTTAGTGATGAAAATTTGCCTACTGACAAGTATATGACAAGTTTGATCAAGCAGAACAAAGAAGGCTTTGGTAAGTACTCTCTTTTTTCCTTTTTAATGTTTATAACTTGTCAGCAGATAAATTTGTTAATTGGCGTCTATTGTCAGAGGGAACCGGAGAACCTTCTGCTTAGTCAAATGTAGCTAGGGAAGTAAAAAATATAGCATGAAGGTGATTGATTATGCTTCTTTGGTATTTCCTTGGAAATATGTTATAGCATGTTAATGAGTTAATTGAGTAGTGATGGTTAATATATCATTTACAAATAATCGAAAGTGCCCATTTCAGTTTGAATATTATTTACTTGCACTGTCATCGGTTCTCGTCTTTGATCTTGTTCCTTTGGTTATAATGGTCCTTGTTTATGTGGAAGACTTAAAGAGCTATGCAGAGGTTCTGTTTGAGAATTGTATTGCATACCTTTCTCTCCAGATTCACTATCTTATGCAAGAAACTCTTTTCTTTGCTCTTTTTTTCACCATTTATTTTGTTTTTAATTCAATGGAATGTTGGCATAAATTAGTGACTTTTTTCCTCCTACCATTGGGAAGCTGAGGATAGAGATGTTGAAGGTGATGAAATGAGGCAGGTACTTTTGACCGCTAGCCTGTCCTGGATTTTTTTCTGGTGCAGCCACTGAATTGTGCTAACCTTCTGGGGTTGGTCTGAATGGCTTTGCAAATAATTATTGTCTGATTCCTTCTCCATTCATTTTTAAGATTATTTTAGGTGCGTTTGGAGTACCGTAATGGTAAATGGGACATCAATGCAATTTAAAGGCTAGCAGCATATGCTACGGTCAATTAAATTTATTGAAGATTTTGATTTCCATTTTTTAGCTCTCTTACGTTTACTAGTATTTGTTTATTCCTTTTTTCATTTTTGTTTGTTGAATGGTATACGTCATGGAAGGTTTAGGGATGCAGCTATGGGTATTTGAGTCCATGCATCCTCATTGCTCTAATTTTCTCTGGATAAAGTCTCATTATAGGGTCTTATACTGGCCATTTTCCTGGGGCTATATTATCAGAACCTGAAACATAGACTAGAAGTTAGGCTAGTTTTAGGACTGAATGTTGGTTAGCTTAATTTGGGAAAATATGACCATTTGCAGTTTTGGAGTTTCAAATCTCTATTCATCAGTTATATGCTGTCATGCTGTTGCTCTTTATTTTGTATTATTGTTTTTGAGGACAATCAATCCATTTATATGCTTGCTTTGGAAACTAAAATGGCAAGTTCATGCAACCAATATTGCCTGTGTTTGTGGTCAGCCTCTGAGTTTGTTATGGTTATTGATTGTGAATCAATTTAGGCATATAGCATTCTGTATATATATGGTTCTTAGCCCATAACAGAATGCCATCTTAGCTATAGGGTGTGAGACTTTGTTTTGATGATTAGCCAGGTTCATGATACGATCGTGCATGTAAATTTGGTGATTTACGGTGAAGTTGTTGCCACTTGTTAGCAGTAGGATTTGTGTTTTCCATGATGTAGTTGGACATCAACGTCTCCTTTCTATCTTCCAACTGCCTTCTGAAACTCCTCTACCATTCAGTCACTTTCTTTCTTTTTGGAATTAGGAATTTATCCTCTTCCTAGCTGGGATACAACATCAACACCCTCTTTTATTTATAGTTTTATTGCTATTGCAAGATCTATCCTTCCTTTCCTTTATATTACATAACCATATTGATAATTATGTTCATATTTTTTCTTAACTTAAATCACCTTCATACTTGTGGAATTGTGAGTCTGCTTGTACTACTTTATTAAATTGTGAATTGATGTGAGTTGGAGAATGGTTTCCCTTGTGTTTGTAGATAATCTTGTTAGATCATGCTTTCAAATTTACTTTATCAAATGTTGCTAAGTGTTCATAAATGTTACTGCTATGCTATTTGTGTAATAGTCATGCACACTCATAGTAAGTGTTTTCTTGCAGTTCCTATCACAGTTATTGCTTCTTTTAGGAAAATGAAGAAGCTTACTCGAGACCACTCATTTATTGTGGCTGCACTGAGGGAGTCATCTGTTCTTGTAAGCAGCTTCACCTTCTCCCTCTCTTATGTCAATCTTATAGAATTTGGATTTTGTGAGGACAGAAAGAAGTGTGAAGTTTCCAATCTATTTATGTTAATCTACAGGTTGTGAATTCAGATGGAAAGAAGGTGAAGCGCCTTCAACCATTTGCGGAGGTTAAGGATCCGAAGGTATTTTAATGAACTTGATTTTTTTCCCCCTCACTTGGACTCGTGTCAGCATAAACTTTTGAGCATCTAATTTGTGGACCCTAGTTTTGCACTGTTCTGGTAGAGAATCTTCCAGAGGATCACTCAGTGGCCAACCTCCAGAGAATATTTGGTGCAGCTGGAAAGTAATCTTTTTAAATCTAGTCTTTTGCTCTTCCTTCTTATTGCTTGTTAGGTGGGTTTATTCATTTTACAAGTTGCTATTTGCAACTTTCAGGATAAAGAAAATTTCCATTTGTGATCCACATGCTGTGGAAAAGTCTAAAAAAGGAAGCAAAGTGGATATCTTGATCAGTAGCAAGGTATGGATTATGATAATCTGTGATTTATTTGAAGGATGATCCATATAATCACTGGCTGGTTCTTTAGCTTCTTCACGCATACTTTTATTTGTCATCTGCTATAATTTTCATTTCCTCTTTTTCCCATTTTTAGCCTTCTGATTTCTCTTGTGATTTGACAAAGCATGCAGCTTATCAATATGAAGTTTAGGAGATTGGTTCTAGAATTGTAAAATGTATGGTACTTATGGTGTACGGAGCATTTTACTTTTCTTACTTTTAGAATATACTAGGTAATATTCTAAAGTGAGCATTTTGATTGTGCCTGTTGATAAGTTTTTTTATCTATGCTGGTATAGGTGCGGGACCTTTATGTTGAATAAACTTCAACAGGCAGACTTGTGGTGCCTGGTTGTTTCCCCATGGGAGCATGAAGTTGGTGCTACAAGAGATTTTTGGGGTTCTAAAAACATAAAATAAAACCTTAGTTCTATTTGTGAGGACCTTACAGCAATGATTTTTTGATGTGAAAATTCTAGTTTCAGACTGCAAGATGTGTTAAAGTTGTCATGTCTCCTCTGACCTTTTCGTTTGGTTCTTGTCAAATTTGGTTATTGCTGATACTTTTTTGAGTGTTATAAAATTATTTCAATGCCATAGTATTGACTTTCTGAGGATTAAATGTTTTCCTTTAGACCATCCTTTTGAGTTCAAAAGGCTACTTCAGTGTGATAGTTTTATTTATTTATTTTTATCCGAAAAACTTAAAAGAGTACCAAGATAGAATTTGTTTCTTTACAGTTGCTGTCTATTAGTCTGGTTGTGAAGTTAAAATGACTTAAAAAGTTTGATGGATTTTGTTTAGTATGATACTGTTTATCTTGAGCTCTCAATAATGTTGCATCCCGTACAAGTTGGGTTTGTAATGAAATAAGTCTTAGTTTGTATGCAGGGTTTCTGAGCCTCAAGTGAGCTTTAACTACAATGATCCCTATGTCAGCTTGTTTGTGAACCTGATCTTCTTTTATATTAAACGCACCAATTTTGTAGATCTTTTAGATTTTTTAAATCTTGATGTCTGGGTACCAAATTTTGATTTTGTAACATCATTTTGCTGCACATAAAGCCTTTTTTTTAAATCTATATGGACATCTTGTTTAGTCAACTAGTTTGGCACTGGGGCTTTGGTCATTGTTGTTGTTATCGAATGGACATCTTGTTTAGTGATATTAAACCAATTATATTTGTTACCAATCCATTTTTCTGGTTTCTGTGTGTAGTTGCATGCCCTTGTGGAGTATGAGACTGTAGACACTGCCGAGAAAGCTGTGAGCACTGTTGTATAAAAATAATTGCTTTTAGCTTAAGCTGTTTGATTTATAATTCTAAGACTTGGTACTTTCTGATAATTGGATCAGGTGGCAACTTTAAATAATGAACAGGATTGGAGAAATGGCATGCGGGTCAAGCTTCTTAAGCAAATGGTAAGTGATGCTCTTCCTTTGGTATTATTGACAACAACAGGTACTAATGTTAAGCTTTCTTGCGATAGGTCAAGCAGGGGCAGAGAAGACGAGTCTGGAGGGAGCCTGATTCTGAGAAGAATTGCAATGGTCGTGCAACTAATCAAGCAAGAGATGAGGAGAAGCATAATTCAAGTGAGCTTCATGATGATACACCTGATGAAAAGGTTAGTGATGATTGCCTTCTTTTTGAGCCATTAATTATCTTTTTCTGTAGAAGTCCTTGATGACTTGATGCGTTAGTGAAGTTATATTGTTTTCTGAACTAAACTACCAACCAGATATTGCAACTCATCCTCTCAAAGAGCTTTACATAGTACAGTAAATGCAATAGAGATTTTAAATTTTGCAATTTGAATCGAACTTGTTATAAGAACTTCACTCATCCCTTAGAGAGAGCATTTCCAGTGGAAGTTATTGGGTTCATAACTTTTCTTCCTTCACCAACTGATTATTTGAAAGCGTTCCTGGAGGAAGGAAATTCAAAATCTCCTCCAAGGAGATTTATGAGAAAAGTGAACAGGAAAAATTTCTACATATATTGATAGAATGAACGCAATGACATTTTTTTTTTTAAATAAGAAATGGCATTGAGAGAATCAGATGTCTAAGAAAATGTTTTGTTGTCTTCATGGTTGTTTCATCAATATTACTTCAGGGTGGCGAGCATGTATCCAAGGAGAAAAATGGTCAGCAAGGCGGAAATCGAGGGCGATCAAGAAAGAACAAATATCGTGTTACTAATGGGATGGGTATTGCTTTCCTTCTCCATTTTCATTACCATATTTTGACACATACCATGTTTCAAGGGTTTTTTTTTTTTAAAAAAAATCTCTGAACAATACAAAATTTCACATTTTAAATATTTTCATATGATTTGAAAAAAACTTAAAAGTGAAAATCCTAGTTTATTAATTGATGCATTAATTAATAGTATTTTAAATATTAGGTTATGTTAAAATATAATGATGAATTGTCATTTTTTTCCTTGAGTCATCGATGTAGTCTTTTTATTTATTAACATTCTTTTTCATAATTCTAGCTAACAAAAATACTCATCTTTTATTTTAACAAAAGTCGTCTTTCATAAATTAATTTAGTATCTTCTATTTTTGGAAAAATAGTTCAGTCTGTCTTTATATAGTGGGGTTAGTGCCTAATCTGTTTTTATATCTTAAAATAAATCAGTTATATCTCTATAATTTAAGTGAGTTTTTAATTTCATTCTGGTGAATTTTTCTGATCAAACCAATAGAAAAAATCACGTGACGTGTGCCAGAAAACTTCACTAGAAAGATTGATTGGAAACTCACTTAATTTTAGGATATAAAGATAGGACACATTAGGCTATTATCCCTTAATTGTTTCTTACATTTACAAAATTTTAGTATGTGAATAAATTTATTCAACCAATAATGTCTAATGTTCTACCCTTGTTTATTCAACACATTGAGAGATAGTATAGTAAATTACACTCGAATAGCGATTAGCATGCATTATTTAATCAATGTTCAAGAATTTTGTGGACACGAGATTATTGCGAAACCATGAAATTCATTGGTAATTGTCTTAATAATATTGGCTACTGGTCGTCCAATATGGAATTCCTTTGGTCACTCACCAAAAATTTAAAACAAAAAAGATACTTTGTAAATTAATAATCAATTAACACTTGGAAGCATAAAAGAAAGAAAAAAGGTAAATAAACATGCTTATGAATTTCTTTATTTGAACGGGAAAGTTTACGAGCTAGAAAGTTGGAGGAAAAAGATGTTTGGGATTTGCGTCATATCTAATGCTGTATAGAAGTAAATCAATTCAATAGATATGGTCACAAGCGAAAACATAAATTGAAACGCTCAGTTGGGAAGATAGCATGAGTTTCCTTTGACTTCACAAAATACTAAAGGAGAAGAAAGGGTGGTTTAGTTTAACTCTTGCTGCTTATTTTGTGTGAATATATTATATATAGATTAATAAAAAGAGGTGGTTTGATTTTATTAGAATATGTATTTTAGTCATTAATTATAGCTAATTTAAGGGTTTTTTTTATAGAAATCAAATGTTTGGACAAAGTTCAAGTTTTTATATATAGTTATGGATCCCTATCATTGATAGTTTTTAATTTTATCAGGCCATGGAACTACATCCTCGGCATACACAGTTGAACTCTCAAAACCACCTCCTGGGCCAAAAATGCCTGATGGAACCAGGGGATTCACAATGGGACGAGGCCGACCTCCCATACCTAATCAAAGTCAACAAATCGTATGACAGTCGTGTAAAATTTGTGTTGTTACTTTCAATTTACAGTGGTGTGGAAGATGGAAGTGGTGTTTGAATGTGCATGAAAGGATAACTATCCAGATCTGTAGTGGACTGTTGAATTTCCTTGGTACCATTTTGATTATGAACTCATAAGGTTGCAGTGTACATGCTCATGTTTTGTATTTGCTTATTAGTAGATTGGTACAAATGCAACCTAATAGAAGTTGTAGTGTGCTACATTCCATCTGTGTTTACTACATGTATTGTCCTGGAAAGCAAGTATTGTTGGAAGGATTGTTTGGAATTACAGAGTTCAGTAATATGGGGGGATTGAGCCGGCGCATTGGTGGTTGTTTTGCTAGCGTTAACCGTAATTGAGATTTCCTAAATAAAGATTAGGAAGTGGCAAATGAGGTTAACAGAAAATCAGATGGCATAGAACTTAATAAAACAGGACCTGCACTTAAGGGATTGGGTCATGTGCTCATAAAAACAGTGGGGTTCTGGGTGGGGCATGCTACATGTGTGATTGCATTATCTTCTGTTCAGAATATGGTTCTCAGTTCTCAAATCAAAACAAAGAGGAGGTAGTTACAGCACAATTTACTCCTCCTACGTAGCAAGTAGAGCTAGCTTTGTTCTGCATTTGAAGTTGGTTACTAAAATATGTTTGGATTGGAAGGTCATCGATGTTGGATGGTTTTAATGTGTTTTTCTAGTGTTTTTAGATAATTGTAATATTGTAATGTCTCAAACTTTTATTTAAAAAAAAAAACACAAAAAAACATCAAATATGATGGTTTTTCTATTCAAATTAAGTTTTACAAAAGCATTTGTATTGCATTGTCGAATACATATTAAGTCTTAATGGTATGTTTGACTGGATATAAGAGTATACGATCTAATAGCTTGTGTAATTTTGAAAATTCTAATGTAATAAATCATTACGGTCAGTCACTAAAATTGAATTGTCAATTTTGAAACAAGGACTAAAAACACTTCCAAAAGAGGGATAATATGTAAATAATATAAAATATAGGGATTAAAATATTTTTTTATAAAACTTACAAGGAATTGTTATGAAATGATGTTAGTGTGAGAGTAAGCGGTAAGTAGTAACAGATCACAACAATCTGAGGGAGTATATAAACTCTCAATGGGACCAAGAAACCTTGTTGAGTAGTTGCGGGAGTTTCGAAGTAGAAGTTAGATCACCTTCTTGGCCGTTGCTGTCCCTTCCCTCTTTAGAAAGAAGAGAGTATAAATTCCATCGCTCGAATATTCCATTCTATTCCCCTTCTCTTCCTTTAATGGCCTTTCTTTTCTCACCAAACTCCTCTGGATCTAATCATCTGTTTTCATTTCCTGTAATTATTATATCTCTTCTTCCTTTTCCTTTGGATTAGTCATGCTTTCTATAAACCATCACCGCCACCGCCACCACCACCACCACTACCTCTCTCCCCTACGGCTTTCTCGACCACGAAAACCATCTTCTTTCTCTTCCTTTCCTTTTTATTGTAATTCATTCCCCAATTTCAAGGTTAGTTCTTCCTTCATTTTATTTACTCGCTATTTCTTACATTCATTACTGCTGATTTGGTTTTGCTGCTGAGAAAAATAAATTACGGAGTAGGATTTTAGTATTGATGAGAGAAATTACTTACGCATAACAATTATTCAAATATCCATGGTGGCAATGAATTTGGAAACTTATTGATTATTTTAGGTGTTTGATGTAGTTAAATGGAACAAATGCTCGAGGACGACGATTGGACCATAAGATTGTTCAAGTTAGAGCCTTTGATGAGGTAACTTATGCAAATGTAAAAAGTGTCCATCGAGTTGCGGCAATTCTTGCTAGTTTTGCACTGGCAAACATCTAATCGAAGAGATGCTAGTTATAATAATTCGTGTGTTTTTATATTTTGTTATTCTTAGTGCTCTCCGTTTGGGTTGTATAGGACTTGTCTGTTGCATCCCAATTTGATGACTGGGGTAACAATGATGGGGCTGCTGGCTACATGCTATCATCCAGTGACGGGGAAGATAGTGATGGGGAATATATTATAAATCCAGTAACGGATATGGATTTTCCAGCTGCTAAAGTTTCAACTAATGACGCTCTTACAGTTACAGCTCACAGGCTTGCAATGATTGGGAGGGCCCCCGAAAACGGAGGCAAGTATCATAATTTTGTTTTTTAGTCCTGCTTATGATAGATATAGGATAATGATTGTTATATTCCTTTTCGGCTCTTTTATCTGCTTTCTTTTCTTCATGATATTAGCATTGCTGCATTGTTATGCAAAATGAAATTCTTATTCTTTATATGGAATTCAGAGAGTGAAAGTCAGCAAATTGAAGAATTAAAAGGAAAACAAGATTAATGTAATTGTAGCCTGTGTTGAGAATCCATCAGCTAGCCGGGGTTAGCAACTTTGCATGAAGGTATAGCATGTCATTAATCTTTGTCGCTGTGCTAAAATGGGGCAAAGGTTGTCACTGACGTGATAATGCAAACTCAGTCTTGCATATGAAAGGAATTAGTTTGATTACTTTTGGATGTTTAAAGAACTATCATGACCATCAAGGCTTTATAGTCTAGGACTTCTCATCCTATTTGAGTTGTTTTGCATTGTACTATATTTGGACATCAAAATTCAGTGCACAAATTCTTTATTTGAAAATCTTGTTTTTAATGTTATACCCAATCAAGTTCCATCCTAGGAAAGTCTTCTAGTTGCAGCTGTAGAAGAGCATGTCCAGATTCCATTGGTAATGTTGATTTTTCTTCCATTTGGTTTTTCTCCAGTCAAGTTTAGCTCCATTGGTTGGTGTTCTTGAGTGCACACATGCACTTAATTTGAGAAGTCGAATGTTTCTGATGTTGTAGGGGATGATACTTCAGTCTATTGTATTTATAATTTTTCTATATGCATTTCTTTGGTTTGACAAGTTCTTTTCATATTGCAATTGCAGGAGCAAACTTGGGACTTTAATTAATTTGGGACTGATAGCCTTTTTGACGGTTCTTCTTTTATATGTGGATTGGTGTGCATGGAAGATTGTCAGATTACCGCTAGCACCGTTTTACTTGTGCCGCCCATTTTTTATATCAACATTTCTAGTCTCTGTTTTGGGCTATCTTTTTGTTCCACTACTCAGTGAGTTGAGAATTCATCAGAGTATCATGAAAGAAGGGCCACTTCGGCTATCCAAGAGAAGGGCAAGCCCCACTATGGGTGGTCTATTTTTAGTTCCAATTGGTGTAGGTGTTGCAAAATTCCTTGCTGGTTTTTCTTCTGTTGAGGTTTCGGGAGCAGCAGTGGCAACGCTGGCATTTGCAGCAATTGGTTTGATAGATGACATTTTAACCATCATAAAAAATCATAATAGTGGTTTATCTGCTTGCATGAAAATATTTTTGGAGGTAAAATGCTTCCTTACTTTATGTTAAACTTGATAACAATCTTGCAAGTGATAACTAAGTTATAAATTTTTCAGGTAGCTGTTGGGACCTGCTTTTCTTTTTGGTTGGATTCAACGAGTATATCATCACCCTACAGCATGTATACATTCTTGTAACTAATCTGATCAACATTTGTCTGATGGTAACTCACATATCTATTCTCGTGATAGAAAGTTTAAGAGAGAATGCCACCTTGTTTTGATTTTTGTGATTAATTAAGATTTTACTCTGTATTGAGAGATTTTATGGTCACATACCACTTGTAATATTATTCGTTTTGAAGTAGAAAACTATTCCTTACCCCAAAAAAAAATAAATAAATAAATAAATAGTAGTTAGTTCTTGTGGTTTCATTTTGAGCAAATTATAGAGTTTCTAATGCTACTATAATATTCAAAACTACTACAATAAAGAGCTGCTTAATTACTTCCATTTTGTTTGCTATCCAAGACTGAAAGGGCATTCTTGTCAGCACAGGACATTTATAATTATGTTTAGCTACATGTCAATTTTTTCTTGTTACATGTTGCCACATCTACTCTTGCCACAACATTGGAATTCTTGTTTGGTTTAATATTGAAGTTCTTTTAGAAGATTTGTAAGAACATATATTAAATTTAGTTTTGAAGGTTTTTTAAGTAAATTTTCTAAACACATATATTGGAATGTTTTACCTTTTCATCTTTCAAGTTTCTCGATGGTATTGACTACTTTGGAACTTGTTGGTTGAATTGATATGAAATCTCTTCTTAATCACTTAATGATAGAATATACCATAACCGTAGAGTTTTCTACATATTAATGATTAGTGCCAAGTCAGCATGTTGTTTGATATATTTTTAAAATTTGTCTTTTCTCGTCCATTTGCTGTTTTGTACTGCAGGAAAATGTTGGTTCCTCTACCTGCACCGCTGGGCCTCATATGCCTGGGAAAATGTTATTCGTTGTTGACTTCATTTTGTTTTGTTTCCATGGGAAATGGAATTGACTTAACAGATGGTCTTGACGGGCTAGCTGCTGGAACAGCTGCATTGGCTTTTGTAGGAATGTCGATTGCAGTGTTGCCAATATGTTCTGGTTAGTATGGATGTTACTGAACTTAAGCCTCATAATATATTTGAAAGTCCAGAGGTTTGGGGTCAAGTTTCCACCAAAGATTTGGAAAGTGATTTAATAACGTTATTCCTGTTAAGGAAAGGGAGGGGAATTTCTGCTAAGCATGGAAAACATCCTGCTCTGGGTTGCAGTATTTTTTTTTTCCTTCTTGTTTTCCTAATATATGTTGTAAGCCAAGCAATTTGATTTAAAATTGCTGCAGAACGCCCAAAGCATGGTCAAAAAAATCCCAACCTAGTCAGCCTTTGATTTTGCATGTCCTCCATGAATTTCTTATTTTTTTGTAGGGAAAACCAAATGTATGGCTATTTTGTATGTTGAAGTACAGTCATTGATATCGTGGATGAGAGATGAGTTTATGGGCTAATTAGCCCACTAATAGTATTTGAAAAATGCTAATGTTACCAAAATCTAGTTATGGAATCAGTTTCCCAAAAAAATTTGGAGCATTGGATGAGTGGGTCTCACCTGCACGATCCCTTAATCCAATCCACCAGAATTTCAGGACATGGATTCTGTAAGTAGATTGCTGCAAAATTATCACTATTCCTGGTAATTCGAAGTCAATTATGCTCCCACATGCATTTTCACAGAGGCTATTTACATTATTACAGGGCATAATAAATTTTGCATATTAGTTAGAGGGAATATTTGTAATCGGCTTAATTTGTTCAAATGCTGCCATCTTACCTTAAAAGGGTGAAAGTGTGAAGTTGGTGACTTTGCAAAGCAATTACTTGACAATTTGCATGAAAGCATTTCCATAGCATGGCTAACTGTTAGAAAATTAGTTCATCAACCCAAATTCATATATAGAAGCACGTTTCTTCTTTCTTTACATTTAATTTAACTACTGCAAAATGAATGCCATGACTTGCATGCCAATGTCAATAGTCCATCAGATCATTTAGAGTTAAATGGATAAGTTGATATGCTTGTGAACTTTTTTACCATATTTCTAAACCTTCACCATCCAAGCCTTTCAAGGAATTTGACAAGTTGATGGCTTATGACATCCATCATGAGCAATGATGCAACTACTTGTTGGACAGAAGTATGACCTTCAAAACGTTATGTTGCAACTCTTAATTCATTCTTTTTAGATCTTACCTTTTTCTGTATACTTATATCTAATTGTCGTTTTACATTCCAAATCAGAACTCGCTATATTTGGGGCATCGATGGCAGGGGCCTGTTTTGGTTTTCTGTTGCACAACCGGTACAAGGCTTCTGTGTTTATGGGGGATATAGGATCCCTGGCATTGGGTGGAGCATTAGCTGCAATGGCTGCTTGTAGTGGAATGTTCCTTCCATTATTTATTTCCTCTGGAATCTTTGTCTTGGAAGCATCATCAGTGGTTATACAGGTATATATGTTGGTGCTGATTTATACCATCAATTGATGGTAGAAAATTGTCCTTTTTCCATGATAACGCCAGAAAGTTATAATCAAGAAATGTAGATCATTTCTGGTTTTCTGAGTTTGACCATGCGTCTTTTCTTTGTTTCAAACAAAATACAATTTCATCCTTTTTTTTTCTCAGTAAGAATTTTTCTGTACTGGTGATCAGTGCTATTACTTATTATATTGCTTAGTGGTCATGGGATTTCATGGTGCCTTCCATGAGTTAGTGTATTCTGTAATTATTGTCATTGCTGTCCATTTCTTCTTTCTTCTCCTACTGTTTATTTTTACCTTATAAACTTTTTGTCTGCTTAATGATTCTGTAAAGTTTGCAGTGAATATAGAAATCAGGCTGCAAGTTTGAGATGGATTGTCATTCTAAGCATGGATAGCTTTGTTGATCCTATATTCCTCTTTTGGTCTTGCAAGGGATGGAGTGGGGTTAAGGTCCGAGGACTTGAACCCCTGACCTCTTGCTTAAAGCAGGTCACCACCAATCCTCCCAATGGGGGATTGGTATCCTATATTCCACTTGTCATCATACTAACTTGATGTATTTCTAGTTGACCATCTTCGGAGGCATGCTTCAAGATCAGTACTTTGTATCTATTTCATCAAATCATAAACCAAGTTATAGAGCTCTCATTTTCAGCTGTGTTGTTTAACCAAAAATTGTGCCAAGTCAAGCCTTTAAATCTGTTTTAATTAGCAGCGTTTTACTTTTTTCCAAACCACAAATACTTGTGACAATATTGCACCTTAAGTTATTTTGCTTTTGTTTTCCGTGAATTATAATTTTTTGGGAAGTTTTCTTGCCTGCATATTGCCAACTTTGATTCAGTTCATCTTTAGCCTTCCAGTATTTTGCTGATGCATCTGTACCTTACAATCTCTGTTGTCTTCTATTACATGCAATGTGATTATCCATGGTCTAACCATTACCTATGTTTAGGTACTGTACCTCAAGACAATCAAACGCATGAGAGGAGATGGGCGCTGTTTGTTCCAGATGGCACCTATTCATCATCAGCTCGAACTATGTGGGTTAAAGGAACCAATAATCGTTGTCGGTGCGTATGTTATATCTGGAGTATTGGCTGTATTTGCTGGGTATGTAGGTCTAATATCGGCATAGCTTCTAAAGCAGTTTTGCACATTTCTTATCACTTTTGCAGTTAGGTCACTATGTTTAACTTTCCCAAATCCTTTCTTATTTTCATTTGGAAGTTCTTCCCTTGAAACTGAGGCATTTTGTAAATTTGATTTAGAAAATCAGTAAAGTTGAAGTAGCGGATCTCAAGACACATTGAGTTAGGTTTGGCCATTTCTTTTGAACTGTAGTTTGTTAGTCCAAACAATGTCTTTGGGACCAAATACGAGTATTGTTCTTTTTCTGCCTTCTAACGCCTTTAAGGCAGTAATCACTTCAGCAGCAATCAGTTTGATATATTTGTTAGCAGAAATCATCAAGCTTCACCTGGGCATAAGATGAAGTCCATCATACCATATTGATAAATCTAAAGAACTCTTTCATAGATATGCCTGTTTGATTGAAAGCACAGCAGCTTAATATCTGATAAATGGCCTCAATTATTTTGACACTGCCTTTTGCTGCACTTAAATATCCTGGTGGAGGTTGTGTAAAGGGTGGTGATCCTAATTATTGCTTAAGTGTTCCTAAAAATGTTAGAAGAGATATGATGAAAGTTTTAAATGACTATGAAGCCAAAAATCCAAGATAAAGCTGTTGGGGAAAGTCAACTTGAGAATGAGATTATGGATTCTCTTGTTCAAAAACAAAGAGGTGCTAATGATAACGTAGATGAGTAGATGAGGAGCTCATGACTTTATGTGGAATAAAAGAGTATAATGCAGGATGGGAGGGGCATATGTGGGATAAAAGAGTATAATGCAGCATGAGAGGGGCACTTATAGAGCAAGTAGATGAGTTTTATATGAAAAGGGTGTTGGTTTTGATTCTAAAAGGGGATAATACCAACAAGATCTCGTTATAAGTGGTTCACAAAGTTTGAATGAAAGAGTTAGTTCAAGATGACAACATAGTGGTGTTTAACTAATTCCGCCATAATCAATACCAATAAAACAATTGAAAAAGTTACAATAAGATGAAGTAGTTTTGCAAAAGATTATATAAGGAAAAAGACAAAAGTCAGTTATAGAAAATAAGGACAACAACATTAAGAAGGGCAATTGGATATATATATATATATATATATATATTATAAGAGAATCTCATGTAATGGTGTAGAATCTCTCTGGTTTTTAATATTGCTTAAAACTTTTGCTAAATTTGGTTCCATAATTCTATCTCCTAGTACTTATAATTTTTTAGAGGTATATTTGAAAAAAGAAATGACAAGTATAAAGAAGTACATAAAAGATTACAAAAATGTTTGGAATGAGAGAGGTGCACCATCACGTGTGATGGATGGTATGGATCAACTATAAAATGCACATTATCAATTTTTTGGTATATTCAAGTTCTAACAAGGTATTTTTCAAATCAATTGATCCATCAAATATGCTTACAAAAGATGTTGAATATTACCTCGGGCTAATAGAGAAAGCGGTGGATGAAGTTGGTGAATATAAAGTGATCTAGATAATGATTGATAATGAGAGGTTGTTGTGAAAGTTGTAAAAAAAATGTTAATGCAGATTTGTCCTCACTTATACTTGGTTAGCCTATCGTGCTTATTGTTTGGATCTAACTTTAAAAGACATTGAAAATAAATCTAAAGTCAAATAAGAGCTTAAGAATTTAATAAAAATTAAATAATTTATTTACAATTATAATTGGGTAATTAATACGAAAAAAATTACTAATGGATGTGACTTACTTCGACTTAACAAGACTTGGATTTGCAATCAAATTTATTGCATTGGAAAACATTGTGAAGTTTAAGAATGCACTTAAAGGACATGTGGGAGTCGAAAGTTTGGAACAATTCTCGATATAGAAGGATGACGGATCAACTTGTTGTTGACATTCGCATTTAGTGTTACAAAAAAATCCACAAGTAATAAGATTTTGGAAGAAGACGAGTGAAGTGATAGCCATCAAAGAGCCAATTGTTAAGGTTTTCAAATTACGCACACTACATTGTTGATCAACAATTTAGTTGAACTTTTAGCTTTGTTCTTTGTAATGCTTTATAGATAAACCCCATGGTTAGCTTATCATCGCCATCCATATGGTAGACTTATATACAAACTTACATACAACTAGTAAGTATACAAATTTATTGTTAAATATTAAAAAATGATGAGAATTTCGGTTACATATGGACTTACATACAATTGGTAAGTATTAAGAATTTATATAAAGTCAAAACAATTTAAAGATAGCTTCAATTATAATTCATACTTAAATATAATTATAAGTAATATTATTTATTCTTGTTTTTGTAGGTTATTTTTCGAACCTATAATATCATTATGCATTAGAGAGAATCCAATTTATTAAAATGGAAAATCATACAAGGTGTTAGAAATACAATTATGAGATTAGAACTATACATTGACAAGCGAGATCAAAGCCATCAATATAGTTAAACAATCTTGTGATAGCATAAGAGACTAAAACATATAATATCATATAAAAAATATATATTTTTTTAATATTATAGATATTTATTAACAATAAATTTTCTAAAATTTAAATATGTAGTTATAATTGTATAACTTGAAAAGATAAACATTTGGTTTAACTATAGCTAACCATAGCTCAAAAGGTTGTATATTCGACAAATCTATGTACTTAATTAATTTATAAAAGTTTATATAACAAGTATTATTGGCGTTATTTATTTACTTTTTTATTTGTGTAAATTCATTTGTCCAATGATTAAGTGGTGGAAAAATTACCGAAATGATGCTCCAACTCTTAGAAAAATTACAACTTAGATATTGAGTCAAACAACATTTGCTTGTAATTATGAGAGAAATTAGAGTATTTTCGAGTTTAGTGCATATAAAGATAAGAAACATGTTAAAAGTATTGGAAATTGCATATAGTTATTTATCTTCATTATAACATGAAGTTAAGATTGAGAAACACTTTGCGAAAGAGTTAAAAAGAGAAAGAGCAAATTTTAATCCAATTAATTTAGATTCCATATTCTATGAAGATAATCCACTATCTTCTTGGCTTATAGAAATTGAATAACTAGTTCTCGTTGGACAAAATATGGATTAGTTGTACGTGTATGATGTTGATGCCGACAACAACATGGGGATAAAAAAAAGTTCAAAACAATCCTGTTGATTAAAATAATCTACATGATAGTGACAATGATGGCGATGATGGACAAGATGAAGAAGCTAGTGATCTAAAAGCTTCTTATACTAACAATAGCAATAACAATGATGGAAGCTCCGGAATAGCCTTTGGTAGTGGTGTCCATAAAGTTGAGACTTCTTCCAAATAAGAAACCGGTTCTCATTCACATAATGAGAGAATTTTTATTTGAGTTCACAAGAATCTAGCCTTTTTGTTAAGAGAAGTCGACTTAATATATTATAGCTCTTCGCACAAGGTCATGGCTTTAGTTTCAAAAGTCTTTTATTTTAGTATCCTTAAAACTTTTTCCGTGGAGCAATTATCATAAATAATAGATTTCAAAAAAGCTTTTGGGTTGGATGATAAAGAAAGTGCATTAAAAAAAAAAGAGAGATAAAAAACTTTGAAGGAAAAAAAAGAGAAAAAATGATGCATAATGATGAGACATCTCTTAATTGCTTTATTTAGATAGGTTTGCAATGAGTAATTTTGGAAAGGATGAATAAATGTGCTTGTAATGAGCAAAATAGAGTGAATTTACACTTGCAAATTAAGAGACAAACATAGATGAGATTTCTTTCCCATGTTAGGTAAACACTCACATATGAAAAAAAAAAATGGACATATGTTATACCTAATATTCAAATTTACTAATTACATGAAAATGAAGGAGTCAATATAAAAAGGTAATTATATAGGATATGCGTCGTAATTATTAAGAAAAAAATAGATAGTTACATAAAAAAATGAGACATGATCAACACACTAACATAACATAGAGTATTGCGGTATAATAATATTAAACCACAATAGAAGATTGAGTACTACAAAAGATCATGAAAGATCTAAAAGTCTATAAATACAAACTACAATAGAGAAAAAATGACACATATACAATAATCAAACTCAACAAGTAATACTTGCAAAAAAACAAAAAAAGCAATAAGCAATTATGGCATTATCCCAAGTTTTAACACTAGCTTGTAAATAGTAATCAAAGTAGGTTGATATATTTATAGGCTAATAGATTTGTTCTCTAATACTATATTTTTTGTTGCAACTCGTGTTTATGAAAGCCAAGAACTAAATTCTTACGCAAATATCATATATGGGAGAAAAATCTCAATTTGTAAGCATTCTTTCTCATCAATGAATAAAAGTTTATTTTAAACTTTGAGCATTATTTTTAGTTTTCAACATCTGTTTTTACCCACTCTATTGATAGGATTGCAGCCTTGAATTCATAGTTTAATCATTGTTTAATTTTATATTTTAAAGCTTGAATGTATGCTCTTAATCGCAAATTAGCACAAGGAATTCAAATAATTGATTTGAGGCCACTATCACTATAAGTGATTATCTTTGGATACTCACAATCAATCATCCTGGACATGTTTTTATCTTTTGTTATAAAATCCTCTTAATTAAAGTCGGCCAAAAAACCCGAAACGAGCATTTAGCGAATAAGCATCGGATAAGACATTGAATTTCAATTTCTTCTTTCTTTTCCTTTTCCTTTTTTTAATATTTACTTTTTTTAATTTTTAATTTTCTTGATTTATTTTCTAATTTTTTTTTACTAGAACTCATTTTTTCCATGTGCAACGAGATAATAAACATGCCAACATCAAATAAATTGAATTAACAACATACACATAAAAAAAATAGAACAACAACATTTCAAATATGTAAAATTAATCTAGTGATCATTAACACAAGGAGGAACTCTAAATTTTTTTTTTAAAAAAAATCATGGTAAAAACATTGTTATACGAGTAATCACAATATAAAATTTTGAGTACTTTTTTTTTTTTTTAAACTACAAAGCCAAAAAATACCATATAGTAAAAAGCTACATAACTACTTTGGAAATGTTTTTCTATGTAAAAAAAGGTAAATCATAAGTTTTTGAATATGTATTGTTAAGCTATTATAGAAAATACTAGTTTATTACTTGTCCTACACTACGATATGGGTCTAATTGTGCTAAGTTGATGAAATCATTAAAAAAAAATAGGATCCATTTATTGAGAAAAATAAGAAAGAACATTTAAACGTGGCTAACATATAGAAATGCGGTTATATATGAAGAAAGTTATTTGTAAAAATTGTGTTGTCATTTGGTTCAACACATAAAAAATATGGGTATAATCCTTATTTATTTCTCATATTTTTCTTCGATTCGAACTCTCTATGCTCAAAGTTTACATCATCATATTTGTTGTAAAAAAAAAAAAAATAGTTTATGGTAATGTTTAAATAACTTGAAGTTGTTTTTGCGATTAATGATCTATAATCATCATGTTAAATATCATACCACTTCATCTTCATTTTTTTTTCTTTCAATTGTGAGTAGAAATAATATTTTAAATTATCAAAGACAATTAAAAAAAATCATATATTATGCATCAACTCGAGGTTTTTAATATCATGCATAAGCAACCTTTTTCGAGCGAAGAAGGAACTTATCAACAAGAATTTTTTAAGTCATGCATCATATCTTATACAAAAAATCAATTGATGATAACTTTCAATGTTAGCAGTATTATATTACCGAAACTTAGTTTACATCAATTTCAAAAGTAAGTTCGTATTACATTTTAAAAAAGAGTAATGTGGTTGGTACAATTTGATAGAGAAGAAGTTGGAACTAGATAAAACCTATGAAACTATAAAATAAATACCTAAAAGTATTGCAATTAAAAGCAAAATAAGAATTTTCATGAAAAAAAATACATAGAAGAGAGTGAGAGTGGTAACAAAATAGGATACAACGGATCGGAGGTCATGATATGCGTGGTTACGGGCAAAATGCTAAAAGCACATTCATAGCAAGCACTAACTATTATAGTTAAAGGCATTAAAATAAAAAGCAAAAATAAAACAAATTGCAAAATCTTTCAACGAGATAACATCCATCAAGTAATGAATAATTTTACAAACGAAGGTAGAAGAACTTAAAATAAATAAAAAAGAAGATAGAGAAGAAATTACAATAGTCGAATAAAAAGTTTCACATAGCGTATGATCAAAACAACACAACAATGTAAATACATGCATTCAATAGCAAAAGAGGACACTAAGTAGCTACTAAAACATAAAAAAAAATCATCAATAGTGAAGTAAACGTGTAACCGAGTAGCTAGAATTGTTACTTCGGAGGAAAAAAGCCAAGACTTTGAAATGAAAAAAAAAAACACATTGTTGAAGAAAAACAAATACAAGACCGCAAAAAGCAAAGAAATAACAAAATACATCCGGACATTTAAAAAATTATTTAGCAAAAAAAAAAAAAACAAAATTAAATACGGACCTTGAGCCCAAAGTTCGACCTCTAAAATTTGATTCTTCGATCGCAAAAATACTTTGATTCTTCAATCACAAAAATAAAAGAAAATAACATAACGTCAAAATTGCAAAGTTAATCCAGCAAATATAAAAACAAACAAAAGAAAGAAACTAACCTAAGAAAGAATATCAACCATACCAATATCGTGCCAGCAATTTTAAAAAAACATTAGTCAATAATCAAATATCCAACAACCCCAAAATGATAAAATCTTCGTCAAAATTGTAAAGTCTTTTTATTGATTCTATGTTATTGAAGGCAACAACGAAAAAATGAATAAACAAAACTCACTACTATCCAAGCAAATGGCCTAAGCATATAAATAAGAAATATTGCAAAAGAAATAACGAAGAGGATATTAAAAAAAAATCTTTTTTTTTTTTTACAAAATAACAACAAAACCCACTCGTTATCTAACATTTATTAATAGTCTAAGGAAAAAAATAAGAAACACCAGTTAGAAAAAAAATTAAAAAATTAGCAAAATTCATTATAAGGAAAGGCAAAACTAAAACCAACTATGACAATCAAAGGAGAAAAAAAAAATCAAAAAGCATCACTTACGAAGTAGAGAAAAATAATAATTTCAATTGACCAATTGGTGAAAGAAAGTTCAAAGGAAGGAGAGAGAGAGAATATAGGCACAATGAGGAAGTATCAAAAGAAAAAAAAAACCTATATGATTGTAAAAAAACCAAATGTTGCCAAAATCAATTAAGAGAGGATTGGAAAGAGCAAGTAATAAACTTGGATTTACACAATTTATAGTGAAAAAAAATCATGGGTTGGCCCTTCGAGCAAGAACAATCACCAAGAAACGATAATGCAACGAGATAACAACCACGAAAATGAAGAATCGATTTGGTCGAATTAAATCAAACCCAATCGGTGGAGATGTAAAATGGATGTCTCCGGTAAGGCAACAACGTGAGCTAAAATAATAACAATCAAAGGTAGATGGTCCAGGTGAAAGAAAGGAATGAGCACGAGTATAATTGAGTTAAAACACACAATATCTATAAATCTTCATCTACAGTAAATGAAGAGTAACAACATCAAATATTTTAGTTTTTTTTTTCTAATTATAATAGTGGTTTAAACGTAATATTAAAATTGCTATGTGGGCTTTCAAAAAAATAGCTTATAGGTGAAATTTGTTCATTGAAGTATAGTAACGATGATGGTGATGGAACTCATATCTCACTTATTTTTTTAAAACAAACTTATTTGTAATTTTCCGAATAAAATAAGACGATTCTTAGGTATCCCTTTAGCTATCAATCGAAAATTAGAGGCCTTAAATGGAAACTCCAAAATTTAAACAGTCAGCCGCAGTAGTAAAACCCTAAACCGTCCACTTCTCATATAATCCCAGCCGATACATATCTTCAGTCTGTCTCTCTAAGGTTTCCTTTCGCATTTTCCCAAAACACAGCCTCCTCAGAGCCCGTCTCCATCTGACTTCTTAGGAGCCATGGTAAGCCTATCTACCTCACACTCTCCGTTCATTTACCTTGCTATGTTTGATGATGGTCATAAAGTATTGTTCTTAGAAACCATAGATCCATACATCGATTTATTAAGAGATCAGAGTATTTAGCTTTATTTTGTTTAGGAACTCCAATTTATGAAAACTCTTTTAGGTGCTATAACTGTCAAGCAGCATATATTTCTTGATTTTGAGTGTGCGTGCGTGTGGTTTTTTTTTTTTTGGCTTTTAAAAGTGGGAAGATTAAGATTGTAACTATGGTGATGGAAATTTTGAATAGATTACGATTTTTTCTGTAAATTTATCCTAAGAAAATGTTGAATGTTGGGTGATTATCAGCTTGGGTTTTTAGAGTTAGAACATTTATGGCCTGTTTGCCTGATGGTTTAACAGTAGACTTGCTGTATGTTATTTTATGCACAGAAGAAACTTTGTTTAGTATTAGGAAGATTTCACTAAAGTACTTGGGTTTTTATGCTATGGTGCGAGCGATGTTAAAGTCAAGGAGAAAGACTAGAGAGCCGAAGGAAGAAAATGTGACCCTTGGACCCACCGTGAGGGAAGGGGAGCATGTTTTTGGAGTTGCTCACATCTATGCATCATTTAACGATACCTTCATTGTGAGTATCAGAAGGTTTCTTGATACTTTGCAAAGTAGCATTACTTGATTTTCACTTTTGTGATTTACTCCCATTGATTGTTTCACTGCAGCATGTGACCGATCTCTCTGGAAGAGAAACCCTTGTCCGCATAACTGGTGAGTGATGCTTCTTTTTTAAATGACAATTATTCAGGAGTTACACCTATATGGCCTGCTGTAATTTGTACAATTGTGGGGTGGTTAAAATTGTTCTAATTATTAGCCAGTGGGACATGTAGCTGGATCTGCTACTATTTTGTTTTCTTCCCAAGTTTACTTTTATTTGTATTTGCCGCTCTGTACATGTTTGATATGCAGGTTTTTATTCCTTGTAGTTTTGGAGAAGTATTTGTATGCACATGGATTGGTACTCTCCAATTATAATAATTTCTTTCTTAAAACAGGTGGAATGAAGGTGAAAGCTGATAGAGATGAGTCCTCACCATATGCTGCAATGCTTGCTGCACAGGATGTTTCACAGAGATGCAAGGTCTTTATCTTTTTTTTTTTTTTTTTTTTAAATTGTTATTTTTATCTGTTATTCTTTCTTTGGGGGTTAGAGGTGTTTGCTTTCGTTCTGGTATTCTTTGGTATAGATTCTTTCTGTGGCCAAAGCCAAGCTTGGTGCTTCACTTAATGCTTGGGTGAAGCAATACGATCTTGCAGTGACACTGACTGTGAGTTGACTAGAGTGTGTAGGAAACTGCCCCACCAGTGCCAAAAAGCACTTCTCATTGGTTTAGTAGTGCGGTGCTATATATTAAAGCCAAGAAGCATTTTACTTGTTTTCATTGAAATATTACATACATGATATCATTTTGGAGGATTCCTTGACCATTTAAATGGGGTTTTATGTGAATCCTTTTGCTCCATTTCTTTTTAAGCTATCCAATAGGTCAAATCTGAATCTATCTTTGTTAACTTGTAAAATCAAACAATTTTATTTAGCATTAGATTTTTTAAATGGTAAAGAACCATAGGTTTAACTGCAAAATTATTTAACTAGTTTTCCTTTCTTATGAAGCAGGAACTTGGTGTTACTGCCCTTCATATCAAGCTTCGTGCTACTGGTGGGAACAAGACAAAGACACCTGGTCCAGGTGCACAATCTGCCCTGCGTGCTCTATCCCGTTCTGGAATGAGAATTGGTCGCATAGGTAAGGCCTCTTTTCTGTGTTTATTGTTTTGTATTGTGAAGGATTTCTACTTATGTATCAATCGGTTTTTATCCTCTTTGGTTGCTTTTTCTGCAAATCCTGGTTTTCTTTGTCCATCCACCTAAAGCGTATCTGTAGGTTGTGCTTATTGCCAAACCCCATTCTGCGCACTTGTGCATGTCTCATATACCAATGTTTGAAATTTTCATTTACAAGCTGTCTTCTTAACTACAAGATTTCTTTTTTCTTCTTCCATTTTGCCCTCAGTTTATCTTTTTGTTAATTGAAAATATAGATTTCAGTTTTTTTCAATGTCTAGAGTGCACTAGTTGCTCTGGGTGGGAACGCGAGCTTGACTTTAAGTTTAGTTTTGATTGTTAATATTTTAGTTATAGGGGAATGCTATGGTTACTTTAATGCATTATAATTAGAGTGCCTTGAAGTTTACAAAATAATAAGATAGTGTTTCCGATGCAATAAGTGGAAAACTTATTAGTTTGTAATCACTTACAAATGGTTTGTTTATAACTTAAGTAGTGATTTTTTTCTTATCTAAGATAACAAGGAACTTCTTTTATTGAAATTATACTTGATTGTTCGTAACTTTTTTTTTGAAGGGAACAATATACTTTTTGAGTTGTTATTCTACAATAATATTAGTAACTAGCATAATTACGGGATAATTAGTTAAGTTACTGAGTGGTAAGAAATTTTTTTATGATACAATAAATAAAAATATTTAATAGTTTTTAATTTGAAGGCAATATAAGTATAGGGTACTGCTAAATTCACCAATGGAATTGCTAGTCTCACCACTTTTTCTTTTTTTTAGAAAATTACTAATACAGTCTCCACCAATATTTGTTATATAATAGTTAGTTGTAATTGGTGAAGGATGTATTGGTAATTATCTAGAAAAAATTGATGGGAATAACAATTTCATTGGCGTGCCTATTATATTTGCTATGTGATATTAAATATTAATGTTTTGTTTTGTTTTGTTTTGTTTTTTTTTCTTTTTGGGTTTGGTTTGATGTTACAGAGGATGTGACCCCAATTCCAACAGATAGCACTCGTAGAAAGGGTGGTAGAAGGGGAAGAAGGCTGTAATGTTGTTTCTTCAAGGTGGGTTGGATCAGTTTTTGTTTGGTTCCCAATGGGGACCTGTTCTTTGGATTTTACTAAAGTTACTATGCAGCAGCTTCGGAACTGCTGTTTAGATTTTCTCATTCACCTTTCCAATGATTTATGCTGAACTCATGTAGAAACAAGAGTTTGTGAAGTTCTTGAAATTTTTCCCTTGGTAGATCATATGAAGTTCTACTATATGGTCTAGTATGATTATCTATGTGGTAGGTTTGTTGAAACGATGCTTTCTTCCTGCCAATGTCTGCACTCCTCTGTTTTGCCGGGGTGTGGTGGAATGGAATTCTGCCTGTCTTTCAACGCTACAGTTTCTGTTGTTGGCCATTTGGTCTCCAATTTTCAGGAATAATCAGTTTGGTCCCTCTTCCCATCGACTGCCATCCTCCTTGTTCCTCGTAACTGCTAACTATTAACCCGTATTAACCCAGGTCGTGGTATAGAGAAATAACAAACGGTACAATACAAAATGACGAGCTATAGTCAGGAGGAGGATGCGGTTGTGTCTTAAAGGAGGAGGGTTGGCGTATTGAAGTGAAAAACCCTACTTGAAGCGGTCTAAGGCCTAATTAGTGGGCTTGGGTTGGTTTCTAGCGCAGACAACAATGGTAAATGGAACATAAAAAATGAGGGAGAAAAGAACAGGAAAATGCAAATATAGAAATGGAAAACAAATTGATTGATTCACCAGTCAAGCGTGTGACCTAAGAGTTAAATCTGCAACATAATTTATCAATGCAAACACGTGTATTGAGACAAGCTTGGCCTCTACTGTGTCCTATGGACACGATTGTCTTTGTAGGATCACCATAAAGAAATTATCCATCTACATATATACATTTCATGCAATGCTTTACAGTATATTTGGAATGAGTTAATGAAATGGAATGTGCTCTAGGTGGATGGACGGACCATTAAACCCAGAATTCGCACCAAAAGCAACCAAGGAGGATAAAAACTGATTTATATGATTGTTATTTTTTGAGATAAATAACAAAACATTGAAAGATGGGCTAAATCTTAAAAAAAAAATAAAAAAATTCAGGAATTTCCAAAATTAATAAAAAAGTTAGAGAATTCAATCCCAAACAATTTAAAGTTCAGAAGTGATTAAACCTTTTTAGTAGGAAAGAATCAAACCTCACCATCAACTACATATTCAAGGAATTAAACATGCAACCAACTCAAATTTGACCTTCTTCCCTCAAACATCAACATGCAATGCTCTACAAACGTATCAGTATCGGCAAGCTCCTCTGTGTCACCCTCTCATTCTTCCAACCAATAGAAGAACAATGAAACATCCTATGTCAACTCCCTCTGAAAACAACATTTTAAAAAAGAAGCAAGTTTTTACTACCACAAAACATCCTGTCCCTTCCACTATTAAACCTACATGTCTCTCAAGCTGTACGTACATGACCCACCGTGGAGAGATGGCATATCCAGTGAGTTTAATACCTTAATAAAAAATGGCACATGAGAGCTAGTACCTCCTAATCCACATCACAAATTTGTTGGCTGGAAATTGATTTTTAGATTAGAAGCCTTCTCAATGACAACATTGGCAAGTACAAAGCCCCTTTTATTGCTAAAGACTTCCCTCAGGGTTCTGACATTGATTGTGTTGATACAACCAGCTTGGTTATCGACCATATAACCATTCGTGTGGTTTTATTTATTGCTTTCGCTAGAGGATGGCCCTTTTAACAACTAGATGTCAACAATGCCTTTCCTCAAGGCACTTTGCAAAAGGAGGTCTATATGCAGCAACCTCCGAGGTTTCATTGATCCTATCAACCCAACTCACGCGTGTTGCAATCGCCAAGTCATTTATGATCTGAAACAGGCACCTCTTGCTTGGTATAAAGAACCAAGTTTCTTTCTCCTTATGATTATTCTCATAAACACATCACTATATAATTTTTAGTATATGCAAATGACTTATTAGTCACCGGAAATAGTACTAAATTTTTATCTCAATTTCTTTCATCTCTCTCATAAAGGTTTGCACTCAAGGACCTCAGGCAACTTAACTACTTTCTCAGTCGAGGCCATTCCTACTTCTACTGCCTTTTTTCTCTCACAATATTAATAAATTCGTGAAATCTTAGAAAGAGCAAGCATGAATGGTGCTGAAGGAGTAGCCATGCCACTATCCACCTCCAACTACATTCGTGACAACTTGTTGGGGCTCTCTAAATCTCTCTGTAACTAGGCCAAACATATCATTTTCAGTTAACAAGTTATCTCAGTTCATGCATACTTCCAAGCAAACTCATTGGGCTACTGTCAAGCGAGTCCTACCCTACCTTAAGGGAACTATTTGCTACAAGGCTACTCAACTGCAGATTGGGCTGGTAACATAGAAGATTTCACATCAACTTCGGCTTATATTTTGTACTTGGGGCCACAATCCTTTATCGTGGACTTCTCGCAAGAAAAGGTCAATTGCTCGTTTGTTCATCGAAGCAGAATATCGAGTAATGGTTGCCACAGCTGTAGGGTTAGCGTGGGCTCAATCTCTTGGAATTTCCCTCTTCAAACCACCTATAATTCACTGGGATAATATTTGTGCCTCCTATGTTTGTGCGGATCCATCATTCCGCTCACGTATACAGTGTCTCTCTATGGATTTTCACTTTGTTAGTGATGGGAGTGTACGCGGCAACAAATTAGTAATTTATTTTTCTTTACAAAGCTTTTAATCATGGTAGATAATCAAAGCATATAAGGTCGAACTCACAAGAAAAGAGAATCAATCAATCTTTTTTGTTGTTTGAGTGTTCTTGTAGTTAAAAGGGGGTTTGTGTAATGCTTGGAAACAATAGAAAGTAACAAAGCATAACAATATTAAACGGGCATTTGTTGAACTTCGGTATTCACCTTTAGTTTGATCGCCGATTATCGATTAAATAATTAACTTATCCTAAACATGAATATTTATTGTAAGACAATAACATGTATGTTGATCCCGATCTTTCTTTACTTAGTAGTTAATTGAATATGCAATACCCAATTAATTTTCTAACTAATGAATAACCTACTAAAGCTAGATAGATTTAATCCAATAACGACATTAAGATGAGAAAGACAAGTGAAGCTAAGCCACCTTCTTAAGCGTTAGAGAAGATGTAATCTAGTTTTATGTTTTCCAAGGAATTGAACGAGAACGTGAAAAATAATCATCAACCCCTAGGTACTACCACATACAAGGTTAGATAAGCAATTACACGGACTTGAATACTTAGCTAGCAATAAGTAATATGACTAAATAACTAACGTGCACTCTAATTAATTTAATCATATAACTATGAATCAATCATGAAGAAAAAAATAAAATACCCAATAAAGATAAGTTTAGAAATAAAACAAGTAATCTCATAGTGATTAACAAAAAACTTCAACTTGATTCAACCAAGAATAAAGTTTAGTTATTCATAATGAATTACGGAGAGAGTTTTTATGAATGGTGGATGCTAAAGGTTGGAAGAGAGAGACAAATAATACCTTAGCTTTGCTACTTATAGTTAAAACTACGGTTACATCATGTGTGCGTTAGTCGTACATGGCCACATGGCTTAATACATAGGGTTACATAGTTTCTTGTTTTATCACTCGGTTTGGAGTCTTGGAAAATAAGTGTTACGCGATTTGCTAATTAGGGCACACGTTCGTGTGCCTTTGTTCTTCATTCCGTGTTACCAATCTCCCGCCCGTGTATATTTCTTCTTCAAGTCGTGTTGAATATCTTTTGTCCGTGTAGACTTGCCTTGCTTTGAAGACACGAGCATGCGACTTTGCACTGCAAATCGTATGCAATACCTTTTACCCGTGTGACTTGTGTTTGCTTGAGAATCCATATGGTTTCTTCATTTAGGTTACACGGCCGGTAGCTATTTCCTTAATTATTTCACACGATCGTGTGACTCTTCTTAGCCTCTTTGAAGTTTCTCTCTTCCTTGCTCGGGTTTTGGGTTTTCTTGCTCGATTCATCGTTTTTCCTGCAAAACTTGAAACTTTCATCTTATTCTTAAATAACATAATATAATACAATAATTATTAGAAAGTTCAATGTAATAAAGCATAAAAATCATGCTAATTATGCACTCATAAAAAACATCCACATTTAAGCTTTGCTAGTCCTCAAGTAAAACAAATAAAATAAAACCTAACGCACTTTTAAAGGAATCACGGTTGCATTTAGCATTTGCAACAAGCTTTAAAATCCCCGGGTTATCCCCTAATGGACGAGTTGTGTCTCTAAGGGTTTTCGGATGATAAACCCATAAAATCATTCAAATAAATGTTATGCTAATATGATTGTTCTCCAACATTGAAGCTCAATTCGAATTCAACAAAATGCAACCGTCACTCGATCATGTTCAAGATATTATTATCATATCAATGCATGTCTCTAAATTAATTTATGCATCTTCATAACCAAATATAATTCGGGCATGCAACACTAACTTTACTTTTACCCCTTTTCCACCATTAGAAGTAAGGTAATAAAAAAAAAAACTCTTTAATTAACTATATATAAGAAAGTTGATTTTTGGTGGTAAAGGTTTTCACAACATTCTCTAACAAGTACTACTCTAATATATCTTATAACTAATTTTTTTGTGGTACTTGAGAAGACAAATTTCCTAATATCTTAATTAGTCTAGCAAACCAATGATTTCAAGCCATTCTTTCTCGTGTCACTTGCTTATAACAATTACCGGTGCTCACAATTCGGGTATTAATCTTTAAATGCATGCCCATGCGGGGATACGATTACTCTTCCGGTGTATGGCAATTTGAAGGACATGGATATGTACCAACGGGAACATCGAGTGTGCGCATCATGTAGGGGTTTTGAGCTATTGGTCATGCCACAACCCTAATGCTTAGAGTCTACAATGGCGACTGTATTATTTCGGTGATGATGTAATTGCCAAGAACATTTATGATCGATGGTT